TTTTTCTTCTCGCTCTCTCTCTCTCTCTCTCTCTCTCTCTCTCTCTCTCTCTCTCCCTCTGACCTCTTGCCTCATAGGACACATGTTAAGATTATGAATTGTTCTGCCCAGACTGAAGGAAATAAAAAAAATGTAAAATGAGAAACATGGTAGTCTTGAATACATTGCTTGCCATGAGTTTGTTACTTGTGTCGTTTTAAGTAGACATGGTCAAAGATGTTTAACATCACTTTTGCTCTGTCCGAAATGAAATGGTGTTTACAGAGAATTGTATTGCTGAATCATCGTCATCAAACTCTACCTAGATCTATAGTATGCACGTTAGGTTTCAAGTAGTCAAAACAACATGTTCAGACATTCGTGCATACATTTATTTTCCCAATAGGCCATTTTCATAATGTAATTAAATTCAATGTGCAAGTCTTTGTTAATTGCTGTTACAAATTATTTCATGCACCAGTTACAAATAATTGTATTTTAATTGGCAGCATGCGATTTGCATACATTTCGTATTGTTACAGGTAGGACAAGCCATATTGTTTGTTCTACCGCAATTAATGTATTCAATTCGCGCATTCTGACTTTTGAAATATAATTATTCATAACGGGTGAACGAAATGATTTGTATCGAGCCACTTAACAAAAATTTGTGCATTAAATTTTATTACAATGACAAAAATGGTCTATTGCGACTAAAATGTATGAAGCAACATTTACAAAAGATTTACAAAAGACTTCCCAGAAAAAAATTATCATAAAGAATATGTGTATGGATTCTTCTCTTTCTACGAATGTACATATATATATATATATATACATGTACAGGTACGTGGATTACAAATTCCCAAATAGCTCATGTGAACAAAAAGCACTGTCATAACAATGTACATTTGCAGACCTGTACATTACAATGAGACTCATTAGTATTGCATTAGGTCATTTTAAAATCTATCGCTACAATTGACGACCTGATTCAATCATACTTCCCCGGTGTAATGGAAAGGAAAGCAGTATTAAAGACCCTGACCTCCTCTCCAGCCCGAGCCATTATTCCCGATTTATCGTTGGCATGGCATGAAGCCTCTTCCCTAGATGTGCTGAATGGCCTTGATTTTCAGCTCATCACCGGTTGGAATGGAAGCACAATCTGAGGCTTATTACATTAGGGCAGTACTAATATTATCCAGCACTCGCTTTATTGTGAATGCTAGGTGAGCCACTCACCGGTGGCAATGGTGCATGTAGCTGCTTTTCCATGTAGTACCTAATGTACTGCAATGAATTGCAGAAATGTGGCTTTTTTATAAATAGTTTAAAAGGGATTTTGTAGAAGCTCAGAATGTACATTTGTAATGCAATGACTTGCAGAATTTGTTATTTTGTTTAAATATAAAAAGGGATTTTCTGGAAGTGTTTGCTGTTAGCAGCTCGATTCTGTATGGAGACGGATTTTGTTCCTTTCTCTCTTTAAAGTAAATTATTTCATAGTCAAAGTTTCCCCCTTCTCTCTTTCTTTCTCTCTCTTTCTTTTTCTCTCTGTCTCTCTGTCTCTCTGTCTCTCTCTGTCTCTCTCTCTTTCTCTCACTCTGCCTAGTTGTATTCCATTTTCTCTATGACATTGTGCATGCATTTCATCTCTTCAATCATCAAAATTAAAGTGAACATGTAAATTGATGGATTTCTGATTTTGTGGAAAATCATTTAATTTATTCATCTGGAGTGACTGTACCATGTAATCTGCTTGGAAAGGAATTCATTATTAGAGGCTCAATTCGTGAAAATGGGGGTAATACTAAAAGCATTTGATTTTACATGTATTGTAGATCTAATGTATATACATGTATGTATGTGCTGTTGGCAGTTGATAAAAGCTTTCTTTCACTACAACCCTGAACCTAACCAATTAAAGCATTCTTATTTTTGTTTTCATCTCATTAAATTTCAACACTCAACCAATAAGACTCTTTCTTTAGCCAATGACCATTCTGCAGCAATTCTGTGGTTACATGTATTTTCAATAGACTACATGTAGTGTGTACGCTTGTGTCACATTTGTATACTTGTAAACTTACATGCACATGTACATTATATGCATGTACTACATTGTAAATGTTTGTACATGTACAAACGTTTAGTAGTTAATATGGAGTGTACATGTACATTATGTAAATCTTATTTCCAGCAATTTTGTTTACCTTTTGATGCTGAGGTCTGCAAACAAATAATCTTCAAAACTTTTAACAATCTCAAGTTTGTTTATTGTGATTTCCGAGGGGATTTACTCTGTTTTCATTTCTCGTTCATGGTCTGCCATTCTGCATGGTGAGTTATTCATACTTCTGTCATCTTTCATTTTGTGATTTGGACATTTTGAGCATGATCACATCAGACTTGCAGTATCCTCATAAGGCAACTCTACAACAGTTTGAATAGGGGTGGGGGGGGGGGAGGAATGGAGGATGGGAATGGGCTCTCTGCATTAAAGATAAAGACCAGTTATGGTCATGCGATAGTATTGTGAAAGAAACGTTATGGAATCGATCAGAAAAGGTTGATCATCTAGCATATATACATGTAAGTATTGGTGTGTACTGCAAGTTTCTGGAATCATCAAAATGATAAGAAATTTGGCCCAGTCTTCGTAAAGTTACAAGCACTGTACACAGAAAGATGTATATGGGACTACGCACACGTGCGTGACACATGCATTTATCTCTCACACACCAATAGATAAACTAATTTACCAAATATATCAATTAGTAGGCCTTTTCCCGGCAAAATCTTTATCATCATGTATTAGTCAAAATAAGAGCTTCCATTTCATTTGTTTAAATTGGGGCGTTTTCAATACTGGTCTTTACCTTTAATCTGTGAACTGTTTTTCCAAACACTTAAATTTTGAAGCTCATTGCTAGGTTACAGAGTCTTGAAAAGCATTTACTGTCCTCAAATCTTGGTAATCCACATAACATCCCTCCACTTCCAGAGCGCAGATGATCCCGTCAAGTTCAGCTTCAATTTTTTTTTGCTACTGCAAGGGACAGAAGGTCACAACTGCTCAAGAGCAGGCCTCGTTGGTTTTATTTGCCCCTGCCCCCTTGCTACCTGTGTCATAGCCCCTCTAATTAGTCTGACTCATGGCGACGGATCAAGCAGGAACCATCATGTTAGTCCCTGCCATGTTGTTAGTGCCCTTAACCCATAACACTTCAAGGTCTTCCTTTTTTTAAAGATGTTTTGGGATTATGACCCCAAAAGCTAGGAATCATACATTATACATGAGCAGCAACAGCAAAAAAAAATCACAAATGATTTAAGTCTACTTCTAACACAGTGCATTGTGCCATTCATGAACAAGGAGGATTTAAATGTAAATAATCACTGCGATGTCAAATTGGCAACGCGTTCTGTAAATGTATCATTTTAGAAATTGCGATATTTTGTTAAAAATCTAGAAATTTCATTCACGTTGGTTCGTTTGATATTTGAAATGAAACTATATGCATGTATTGGAGGAAAATTGAAATAATTAGTGCCAATTTGAGGAGGAAGTACTGATTTATTTAGACCTTGAGAAAAACTCTGCTTTGGGTAATATGGACCCCCTTCCTGTTATCTCATACAGCCAACTATTACCTATAGACTATCGAGTTTCTGCGGATTGTGTACAGTTAGTTCAGAGATCTGGTTTGGAACGTGTAATTGTATTTGGACTCTTTGGGAGCATCTAGTGTCAAGGCAAGATCTATGGTAAATTAAAGCACTGCATTTGATTGACTACGTACAGTACATGTACAGTATCTTCATACTTAATTCAGGGATTTTTAACTAATGTTCATACATGTAGCTGCTAAAAGACCAGTTATGCTCATGCGATTGCATTGTGAAAGAAACGTTGTGGAATCGATCAGAAAAGGTTGATCATCTAGTATCTAGCATCTGCAAGGTTCTGGAATCATCAAAATGATAAGAAATTTGGCCCTTTCTTTGTAAAGTTACAAGCACTATACACAGAAAGATGTATATGGGACTACCCTATATCTCTCACAGACCATGAGAGAAACAAATTTACCAAATATATGAATTAGTAGGCGGTTTCCCGGCAAATTTTTTATCATCATGTATTAGTCAAAACATATTCTTTCACATGATTGGTAATGAGAGCTTCCATTTCATTTTTTGAAATTGGGGCGTTTCCAATACTGGTCTTTACCTTTAACATACGGTTAAAATGAGATTGTTAGTAGAACTTTGTTTGTGTGTAAAATCGCTGTTGTTGATGTAGATGTGAATATACTGGTATGTGTACCTGAATGTGTGCATTACATCCATCTTGAAGATACCTGAGAAATCTAATTACATGTATCCTTTGGAAAAGAGAACGAGATTGAGTTTGTATAGGAGATGCAATGTGAATTGTCACTTGAGTGTTTCGTGGATAAATACTGGCGTCAGATATACTGGTTGCGTTGAAAAGATCAAAATTGTTGAACTTCAAGTAGTTTAATTCAAACAGGTTAATTCAAACTTACTGAATACTTGAGTGTTTTGATTAAGGTCATTCTCAGATATTTGTATGTACCATATTTAATGAGTATTCTCAGAAGAACAATGCGATTCTTGAAAGTTCAGCTGAATTTTTAAATAAAAAAAATACACCTTCTGATATCACTTTTCCATAGACACCTGTACGAAATCTGGTTAACAATTTTTATTATTCTGAAGTTACAAATATGGATTTAGCTCCTTTTGGAATTAAACTCTTCATATAGTGGCTGAAACTGGGTTGCATGATCCAACCAGAATTTTCAAATAGACATGTATTTGATTTGTGATGTTTCAGTTTAATTTATACACATGTACCTTTAATTTACACTACATGTATTTTCAAAGAACTACTTTAAACGCGATGGAAATGATTTATATTGAACCAAACTGTAATTAATTACAAGTATTTTAATCAAATACCCTTTCTTCCCTTGTTTTTTGTTTTACCATAGGATTCCAAACCCAAGTCCTCTCAGGGGGCCCAGTCTTCCCAGACCCAGTCCTCACTCAGCGAAGAGAGAGAGGAGGAGATCTCCCCCACCCCTCCGGTATCCCAGCCCAAGACCCGCCGTCGCCGCGGTGCCTTTAGCGCCGAACCATACACAGAGGAGGATGCAACTTCCTACGTCAAAAAGGTAATTGCGCTCTGGCCGATCGTACAAATTAGTTTCATGTTGTAGAACATTTCACATTGATCATGTTGTGGCAGCTGGCTGAGATGAAATGTTGATTATAAAAATAAAACTATGTCAATATTAATCAATTCAATTCAACTGAAAAGTGCTCAAATCATTTACAGAAGACTATGGGGGCGTTTCACAAAACTTATCATCAGTCTTTGTTATAAGCTTTGTTATAAGCTCCTGAAATCCTTGTTTCTGATTGGTTATCAGCAGATTTGTCACTGATTTTTGTGATTTGTCATTGAAAAAAGGCTTTGTGAAACGGGCCCCTGATCAAGTGTGAGTTGCCCTACTGCCCCTTTGTGGTAATTTTAGCGTGGAACCGTAGAACCGTAGACAGAAGAAGATGAAACTTCCTGTACGTCAATTTTCTGGCTGAATATCATTATATACAAATTAGTTTTACTTTGAGTTAAGTATCAGAGACACTTATCATGATGGAGATACTAAATTGTACATGTAAGTAAAGTGATCAGGGTTACACCATGCAAGTCTTTCAAAGCAATAAGACCTTGTACCATAACCTACCAGCTCTTCTCAGGGCTTGTATTCTTTTGAAAGAATTACATGGTAGAACCCTGAAACTTCACCCACAATTTAATGTTACTTTGTTAGAAATTTTACATTTACTCATGCGGTAATTAGCTGTGATGATATTTTTTATGTTTATAAATATTTCACTTCAATTTGATTGAAGTAAATAGTACTGTATATGGGTCATTAGCTGAGAGCCAGAAGGGCATTAACTATATTACCGGTAACACTTCACCTAAAGGCTTATGCCCTACAAGCTTTTTGTGGTAGTTTCAGCACGGAACCATACTAGGAGAAAGATGCAACATCTTATGTCAAAAAGCTAATTGCTCTCTGGCCGACATCATGATGCAAATGAATATTACACAATGATGAAACAAAAATCCTTCTGGCATTCAGCAGTCAATATTTGAAGAGCAAAATATAATTTTATTAGATTTAGAGACAATCAATTCTGGGCATGAGAATGTCTCAGTATAGGGCAATAAACTTAATTGTATTCTGAGAAAACTGTAGGCATAGCAGAGATGCCAACCCTCCCGATTTTATCGGGAGGCTCCCGATAATTCACCCCAACTCCCGACCTTACGATCACCATCCTTATCCTCCCGATTTATTAAAAAAAAAAAAAAAAAAAAAATGATTTTTTTTTTTTTTTTTTTTTTTTTTTTTTTTTTTTTTTATTATGATTTTTTTTGGAGGGCGCTTATCAGTATATATATCTGTGAATTGAAAGAGAAATATCATCTGCTAACTTAAGCATGTAATAATTCCACTATGTTAAAAGACAAATTAAGAGTAGCGAAAGATTGTTTCAGCATATGGATCGCCGTAACCAATGCGTGGATATTGCCACAGAATCCAAATGGCGGAAAATCAGCAAAATAAGACCAGGAAATGGTCTCGGAAGTATAAGACCGAATACAGTATCAAGTACCTGTGTAATCGGAAGTCTGAAAGTAATTCATCATGCATTTTGTACAATTTTTATGTTATTTAAAAAAAAAGGGGGAATTATTTAACTAAATACACATGTAAAATGCTCCAAAATAAGGCTCAGATTGCACCAGAGAGCATCTAGAACCCCAGAGCTTCCAGGGCCCTAAGGCGGGCCCTGGACCCCGGCCGCATGTGTCGGGCGCTACGCGCTCGAGATGTGCGCTACGCGCACATTAATTGGTGTCGATTACAAATCCTCCCTATTTCTGATTTCCAAAAGTTGGCATCTCTGGCATAGGGTAGCACTTAATTGTGCAATATATTGATGTGTACATACCGGTATTCTCAGATCTATACTCTTTGGAACTGCATACCTTCATGATTGAAATACACTGTAAAACCATAAAATTTTGTGAAATGAATTGTTTAGGACTGTCACGTTTATGGCAAGAAAGTTTTAAAATTTGAAAAATTCAGTGGTGCATCACCTGTGGCCCTGTATTTAGAAGCATTATACTTTTACCAATCTTAAATCAATAACATGTAAAAATTTGCAAGCATTTCATGCATGTGAAACACAAAAGGCGATAAATTTAAGGGCGTTGCAGGGATTTGAAAGGTGAATATCTCAAAAAAAGTATGAGGGCCAAAATAATGTTTAAATAATCATAATTGAAAACTTTCCTAAAGTTTTGGTGGCAAAACGTGTATTTCTAGCAAAATTACCATCATTGTTCTTTTCAAATATTTTGTATTTTGCATGTAGCAATGTTTTATTCGCCCCATTTGTTTACCAAATGAGGGCTGCCATTTTCATGCTTGGATACAGAGCCTTAATTCCTAGCGTTGTTCAGACATGCAACGGTAAATTGCTTTTAAAAAAATTTGATGATGATGTAAAGTGAAGTATGCTTCACATTTCCTATGTTATTCAATTCAATTCAATTTAAATTTTCAATTTATTCATGTTTCCAACAAAACATTACAAATCAATAATAAACATTTACAACAAATGTAGAAATACATGTTGGAAACATAGCGCTCAGTGATGTGTCAGACCTTTATTGCTTGCAGTTGCCATTCCTTTACAGGTAGAAACCGTCGCAGTTTACTACGTCATATCCGACTGCATAATTTTTGCATGAAATGTTACTTATTATATTCTTTCTACTGTACTCACCCTCTAACATGCAAAAAATCCTGAAATTTTTTTCATACCACAAAGATATTTATGGTTTTCTTGGAAGGCGTCACTGTGCGTCATCCTCTAACAGTAAATTCTCTCAACCATTTTACAATTATTCCAACCATTTTATAATTATCCTGAATGCTTTTCTATGAAACCAAGACTTAAGACAGGCTTTAAAAATCTTTAAACACTTACGTTTCTGGAATGGTATATAGAGCCAATTTATTGCTTTGTGACGATTTACATTCACCTAAAATGTAATTAAATTGTCATAATATAGTTAGGGGAATTAAGGAATCGATCAGATTAGTTTTACCCAATTTTTTTTATGAATAACCGTCTTTTTTCACTTTTTTAGATTATCTTAAATTGTACATCTAGCATTGAAGTCACTACCTTAGCATCATTTTCTCTCATCTGAACAATGTTACCGAATACCGAATCCCTTTAAGGAGTGTCGACGATAGAAGTAATAGGCAATCCCACTGCAGATCTATTCAACACAAAAGCCTTCCAGTCATCAATTCAATTAAACTTGCCTGCGTGTCTGAACAAAAACCCTCCTGCAGTGCTTGCCTTCAGAAAATGATAATCAAATCTATGATTATTAGCTATTTCTTCTTTTTAATTTGTGTCCTTCAATCATGAGGAGTGGCTCAATTAACCACTTATTATGAACAAGTTTTCTCCAAGGCCTTTCAACAGGTTTATTGTTGTGAAGAAACTATTTTTATATTTTTCCCTCTCAAATCAAATAATGAGCTGTGTTGTTAGACTCTCTGTTTTTTGTGTAATATTGATTTTAATTTCTTATGGCCATTGGCGCATTCACAGAATTTGATCAGATAGTTCTGCAGGCAATGACGATTCTGTTTTTTTGTTATTGCATAATATTATGCAACGAGCGTTGTGCAATAATTGAAACCTTGTGTAAGAAGCATGATGATTCTTTTTAATTGTTTTTCTCAATGTGGTTAAGATTTTGATTTTATTTTGTAACGGTCATTCAGATAATTGAGCTTTGAAGAAATAGTTATATCTTGGATAAATCGTCCACAAATCGTCTGTTTTTTTTTACCCAGAAGGGGTTTTTAACTCATGAACTTCAAGTCTGAAACAAATGTTTTTTTCCTGCCCTCATATTGGGATACATATCTAGATGTCACTGAAAAATGTTTAATAAAGGCAGTTTTCAGCAGAATACCCTAATTACTTTGCATTTAGGAATTCTTCCATTAAATTTAAATTATTTATTTAATTTTATTGTATTTCATTTGAGCAAGGAGACACTTGCTTCAGCCAATGGCTGTGCATAAATAAAACACATACATGTAGATCATATACATAAGAATGTACAATAAATATAAAAGAACAAATATACATGTAAATAATGATATAATTAGATATATGAAATAAAGAGAAGTACATGTATGATGAAAACGAAGATAACACATGTAGATAAAAATATAATACAAATTATAAACATACATATATGGAAGAGGATAAATAAAAAGATAAATCTATAAGACTATAGAGGCAGATGGAGAATTTAAACCAAGATAGAAATCGATCATCACATATGAATTGATATAAAACTGACAAGCATTAGAAGAAGGTCAAGTAGGCACTAATTTCACATAGATTATAACTATGTTTAAGCAGTAGTAGAGGCACTGAGGCAAAAGAGAGAAGAAAAAAAGAGGGTGAGAGAAAAAGAAGAGGGAGAACTAGAGAGAAAGAGGGGATGGGAGAAAGCAAAACAGTAAGAATGAGAGGGGAGAGATTAAAGGAAAGAAATTTTTACTTTCCGGTTTGAATTTGTTAAAGCTAGAGGCTTTTATGTCATTAGGCTATATTCCATTGTTTCCCTCCTCTGTATTGTAAACTAATATTTATGTAGCACCTTTTCCGGAGGATACAAGGCACTTTCCCTTGGTCTACGGACAAGTAGAGAGATGTTTTTAGATGTTTTTGAAGAAATTAAGTGAAGTACTATTTCTCAGAAATTCAGGGAGTTTGTCGATAGGCCTGGAGCAACAGAGTGAAAGGATTCGAAGCCAGCCTGTTTTCGAGATTTGGAAATGAGAAAGGAAGCAGCTGATGTAGATCAAAATAAATATGATGTTCTCTGTTGCTGTTTTATTTGATGTCCAGTACCCTCAATAAATCATCAAAAAGATGAAAATTAATCAAATTCATTTTATTGATCAAATTGTGTGTCTTACAACAGCAAGATAATTTTTAAGCTGTTAGTCAGATCTCTTTTTCTGAATGTCATGTTCGTCCATTTCAGAGTAGATATTCACATATTTAATGTACAAATGTACAGATGTATTTTACTCTTTGCTTTCTTTCATTTTTATCAGGTGATTCCCAAAGATTACAAGACTATGGCCGCTCTCTCCAAAGCCATCTCTAAGAACGTTTTATTCTCCCACCTGGATGAATCAGAGAGGAGGTAGGTATCGATTGCACACAGCATGTTTCAAGATATGTGGTATAAAGTGAGCAGGAGAAGAAGGGAGAGAGTGATAGAAAGTGGGAGGGATGGATGAAAGGAGGGAAAGAGAAAGATACAGAGATATGGAGGGAGATAGAGAAAGACAGAGAGCGAGATAGAGACAAGAGATAGAGAGTAACGTGACAGAGACAAGACAGAGAGAGAGAGATAGAGAGAGAGAAAGAATGAGACAAGACAGAGAGAAAGAGAGACAGAGACAAGACAGAGAGCGAGATAGAGACGAGACAGAGAGAAAGACAGACAGAGAGCGAGATAGAGACGAGAGACGTGACAGAGACGAGACAGAGAGAGAGAGAGATAGAGAGAGAGAAAGAATGAGACAAGACAGAGAGAAAGAGAGACAGAGACAAGACAGAGATGAGAGATAGACGAGACAGAGAGAAAGACAGACAGAGAGCGAGATAGAGACGAGAGACAGAAACCAGACAGATAGACAGACAGACAGACAGACAGAGGAGAATGAGAGGAGAGCAAGAGGAGGACAAAAAAGTTTACATCAAGAGTAATGGTCAAAAGCATCTCTTGGCACAGAAATTATATGATAAATACCCATTCATCATCATGGGGGAAAATCCAATTACCTATCCAAATCCCATGCAAAAAGTGGCTTGACCTGATGGTATTTTGCAAGTGATTTGTAAAATTCTTCTGTTGTTGCTTTTGACCTTGAAAAGGCAACTGCACTCACATTTACAGATATGATATGAGAGTTGAAATGAAAGTCTCTGCTACTTTACTTTAATATTTTGTTTGCTTTGTATTGTTATGTTCTTTAAAATGTCTTTGCCAAATTGATTTAAGTTATGATTACTAAAGGCTAGAATGAGAATACTGCTTCATTCCCAATGGTACCTTTATCTACATGTATATGTATGATACAAATTAATTCAATACTTGTTATTTGAATGTCAGTCATTTTGTATGTGGGAAAGAAAGTATACATGTACATGTATATTTCAAAATAAGATCCATGTTGTATGATTGATAATATTATTCCTATTTTGTTTCCTTTCTTTTTTTTCAACCCCAGTGACATATTTGATGCCATGTACCCAGTCAAGCACGATGCTAACCAGGTCGTCATACAGCAAGGTAAAGCAACGAACAGTACACACCTTTATGGAAGGAAGTGACTAGAAAGAAGGAATGGATGAGCGGATGGATGAATGGATTGATCTATGAATAAATGGATGGATGGATGGGTGGATGGATGGATGGATGGATGGATGGATGGATGGATGGAATGATAGATGGATAATTTAGCGATGGAGAGAGATGAGAGAGAGAGAGAGAGAGAGAGAGAGAGAGAGAGAGCTCGATGAGAGATGAGGGAGAGAGAAAGAGAAGGAGGGGGAGGGGGAGGGGGGAGAGGGTGTTTGTGAAAATTGAGTCTTTCATACAGTCCAGTATAATTGAAAACTGATTGTAATACATGTATCTAGACAGCCCAGGGATATGGATAGTGAAAGAAAGTTTTCAAAAGAAAGGAAAGAGTTAGAAAGAAAAGTTGTTGCATGAAGGCAATATCCTCTGTTTGGAGCCAGAAGGGCATTAGCTCAGATACTTTAAAGGTACTATGTCCCTTTTGCAGCCAACCTCAAATTCTGTAGAACTTTGCAGGAATTATGAATATGTCATGTATGTCCTATCTGTGAAATTTAAACGTTAGCAGTGTCCTCATATTCAAATTATGCAAGGAAACCTGTTTACTTGCTAGACTTCACTGTCAGACACTATTGAGTGACTGACTGGCTTTTTTTCTTCTTTGGTAATAACATACATGAAAAGAGTTGTAAAGGGCACATGAGCATTTGTCTACATCAATAACCCACTTCTTGTGATGGCCAAGATTAAACTGATTGAATCTTTGCGCAGCATAAAAGGTATGACCGTTCGGTACAATTGTCTGAAAAACAAGACTATTACTTTTGGGCTCTATAGCCCTAAAGTCGATTTGACAACTAATAGTCGTTATTTTCCCACTTGAAGACATTTTCAAGCACTACTTTTTTTAGGGAAGTTCTAAATTAGTATTATCTTTCAAATGCAGTTGGAATTTAACTTTTTCATTTTTTTTGGCCTGCAAATGGGACATAGTACCTTTAACACAAGAGCAACACCCTTCTGGCTTTGAACGGACCATATTAGAAGCAGTGAGCAAAGATATGGAATGGTGGACAATGTTCACAGAAAAATGAGGAGCTATAGAAAATAGCAAAGAAGGAAGGAATGTGAGTGAGAGAAAGAGAGAGAGAAGGCGGAGAGAGTGAGTATACAAACAAGAGAGAACGGATTTACGTTGAAATCAGAATCTATCTGTGAAGCATAAAACCAATCAGAGTTCAACAAAGCATTATGAACGTGTACAATTTAAATGCAAATAGGAAATGAACAACAAGAAAACATCCTGAGGTCAAAATGGAGGAATGAGAAAAAACGTAATTGGATCCAGTTTGGATGAATACCATGAGGTATACATTATTTTGATTACTGGACATCAGTGATGTAGTTTACGAAACCATCAAAGTACAAGTTCCCTGGCAACCCATTGCAATGTGTGTATTTGATTTAACACATGTGTCAGTGGGATGTCGGATAACTTGTACTTATGACGGTTCCATGAAAAACGATGCCCAGTTTAAAGGTAAAGACCAGTATTGGAAACGCCCCAATTTCAAAAAATGAAATGGAAGCTCTCATTACCAATCAAGAATATGTTTTGACTAATACATGATGATAAAAAAATTTGCCGGAAAACCGCCTACTAATTCATATATTTGGTAAATTTGTTTCTCTCATGGTTTGTGAGAGATATAGGGTAGTCCCATATACATCTTTCTGTGTATAGTGCTTGTAACTTTACGAAGAATGGGCCAAATTTCTTATCATTTTGATGATTCCAGAACCTTGCAGATGCTAGATGCTAGATGATCAACCTTTTCTGATCGATTCCACAACGTTTCTTTCACAATGCAATCACTTGACCATAACTGGTCTTTACCTTTAAAGTCTGCCTTTTACCATCCCTACCCATCCTCTCTCTCTTTGCTACTGGACATTTGAAACAGGTGATAACTAGGAGGGAAAAGATATTTGTATGTTATTTCATAATTACTTTGCTCATTCAGTGAAAGATTGATAATAATCAAGAAGTCATATTATTTGAAGATTTTAAAGATCTAAAATCTTATATAAATATGTCACAGCTCAATTTAAACATGCTTTTCAAAGTCTGAGCTCGGTACCTTTGGTACATGTATGTATCATTTATATCAAGCCCTCAAAATCGATTTGTCAAAAGTAGCTGATAAAAAGCTAGATTCTAGTATCAGGTTCGATATCCCTTTCCTTAAATATAATGTAAGTTTGCCAAATAGAAGTGAAAATTAACTTATCACTCTGTGCCCTAGTAGAACAGATCATGATATACACCTTTATTGATTGATCGATCAAAGACAAATACATTGTAGGTAACTTGTTGATTTACCTTGCTACCACTCTCCCATTTTGTCTGTACTCAACATTTCATGAATTTCACCTTTTTTCCAAATGTTTCTCTCATCATTATTGAAACTAACTTGATATCAGGATTGAACCCTTTAAGACAAATGTGTGTGGATCGGTGGTTTTAGCTGCAGCCTAGATCACCTTGCTTTATGTACACCCCCTTTATGAAATCGATCCCTTTCTTCATCAACCACCTAGAAAATAGAAGCTGTCATATCTTATGACAAATAAGAGAAGTGCTCACTGGGAAATGGTTGCCCATTTGCATAGAGATTAGAAATTAAAGATTTAAATTTTCTCATTTGTCATTGCATTTTCTCACACTTTCACTGATATGTTTCTGTTATCATAATTGAAACCAACTTGATATCAGGATTGAACCCTTTAAGACAAAGCAAGTGAATGAAAAGAACTTGCCTGAATTCCTGAAAGGAAGGAATTTGTGAATCCCCGAATGGACTAAAATGAAAATGGGGTGTTTGTAATCACCAACATAACATGTACAATTAATCAACCAAGGTCTAACATCATTCTCCCACAAGACATTAATTTTTAATCGCAACTATCAAGAACGATATTGACATTTTTCCCATTACCGCTAATAGATGTACACACATGTACATGTACTCACAAATGGCATTTGTTGTCGTATATCACAGAACATGCAGTACTAATACTACTAACAGCTTTGTACAGAGCAAGGATAGGGCTTGTAGATTATCAGCTAGTCTGTATTACAGGCTTTTTAAGACGTATCTTTGACTGCGCAATGTTCAAGTTCACTTTATTCAATACTTTCATAAGAAATATGCAAAGGAAAACGATCTTATAAAAGTTGAAATATAATTTGTGTATCAAACTATCAATATATAACATGAGAATAACACAAGCAGGGAAGACATGAAGAACAATTTTTTTGTTTTGTTGATAAAATGGGGGGGGGGGGAAGGAAATAATTTACTTTCACACATACATGTACAGTACACTCATTCCCAAATACACCAACACACATTTATTGTTCTGTCTGATGTAAAATTAAAGTTATAAGTTATTGCACTATTGAGTATTGTTGTAATATATAAATACAATTAACAATTTCTTTTAAAACTATTCAGTGATGGGCTCAGTCTATAAATGTCTATTGGTATATCATTCCAAACTTTGGGACCCCTGAAGAAATAGTATTTTGGGAAACTAATGTTCCAAACACTTCAAATTACATGTATGTACATGTACATGTATGTTCATCTTGATTCTCATTGCTACAGTGTCTGTGTGTTGTGTACAATGAGGCCCTCTTTGATGATTGCAAAGATGGGTCTGGTACGAGGAAGACTAAGGACGACGAAACCAAAATCATGTCAAATATCCCATCATTGCTTGCTCTTTTGCACAGATGTTCTGAATTTTTAATTAAAAATTTCCATTTGTCAATAAGTGCTCTTCCTATTTGGGATATATTTATGCAATGAATCCATACATAGCAATATGATTTGAGATTTTGAGTACCAGTACTATTTGTAACCATATGTGAAAGATATGTAGTTTCAGTACTTGTTTATTTAGTACTCAAAGTATTAAAATGGAGTCTGAGTATTATTAGTAAGCCTTGCAATTTTATATCTTAAAACCTCGCAGCTATATCAAATTACAAAATGAGATGTCAGATCAATAAGCGTTATATCAGAAAGAGAAGGAAAAAGAAAAGAAGGAAAGAGAAAAGATAAAAGAAGGAAAGAGAAAAGAAGGAAACAGACATATTTTCTCATTTTTATTTTCTTCTATTTTTTTTCCTCTATTTTTTGTTTATTTTTATGTACATACATGTTGTATGTATAGAGCCAGAAGGATCTCTTCTTGCTCTAGGCTGGCAGTGAATACTCATTGCTTTTAGCTTATTTTTATTCATCGTATAAGAGATCAAAAGGGCCTGACTCCAAAGCCAAAGGATCAAAAATATCCTTAATTTCATAAAAACAAATATGACATGCATTTGTTGTTGAATATAACATATGTTCACCTCAAATTCAGAATTCCTCTCGTGCAGGGCTCAAATTAATTTTTTGTCCACGGGGGCTCTTCCCCCCCAAAAAGAGCCCCCGTGAGCCTTCTCACGGGGCTCTTTTAGTACTGACGGGGGCTCTTTTTTTATACAAATATGCATTGAATTGGTACCTATGGTACTCCTCAATTATTTGCTATTTCATCATTATCATTCCAATCAGCATTTTCCCTCTTACAAATTTACAAGCTACATGGCTGTTACTGGCCTCAGTGGCCTGTGTATATAATATATACGCATACAACACTGATCTTTATGATGTCTTTAACTTGACATATCTTCTTCTCCCCTTGCAAACGAGAAAGAAAACAAGGTCATTAAAAGGGATTAAGCGACAAATAATGATTGTGATTCAAATTGATGCGAATATTTGTTTGAATAAGCACTGCTATTCACCCGAATCTTCTTTGTAAAAACAACTTTTACAAATCTCAGCCATGCTTACTGAGTTGAGACGTTCCATTCAATGTAAAATACTCATTAAAGAATACACTTCTGCTAATCTGAAAGTGATCTTACAACACAGTGGCAGATTTGCATGGCTGAGATTTGTAAAAGTCGTTTTTACAAAGAAGATTCTGGTGAAAAGCATTGCTTATTCAAAAAAATCCTTGCATCAATTTGAATCACAATGATTATTTGTCGCATGATCCTTTTATTAAATAACCTTGTTTTCTTTTTTGTTTGCAGGGGGAAAAGAAGCTATGTCACGTTAAGAAATCATAAAGATCAGTTGTATTATGCGTATATACATTATGATACCAGAACAAATGTTGATTATCAGAATGTCATTTTGGAATACCTCTATACAAATACCACATTGTCTTTAGACCGTATCAGTATTAGTATGATGCAATATAAAGCTATTATTCTTTATTTAATTCAGTATAATGCTTTTCCTCAAAAATAGTTTTGCCATTTTGTTAGGGTTGAGACGCTAAGAAATGGTTTCAAATGTACATTACACGAACCCTGAACCATTACAAAATGATGGTGGTTCTCTCTCTCTCTCTCTTTACTTTAATCATGCATTATCAACTACATATAAAGCAGCAACCAAAAACTTGGGGTTATCTGAGATAGGTGAAAGTAAGAGTTAAAAAGAAAGTCATGCTAAAACGGCGCTTCACTCCCCCCCCCCCCATGAAAAAAATAAAATAGATTAGTAGTCCTCCTCTCCAGCATCCCCCCCCCCCCCCCCGCTTTAATATCACATTTTCACTTGGCAGCCCAAGGGGGCCGGGGTGGGAGGAGGGGGTCAAACCCCCTAACCCCCCCCCCCCCCCCCCCCCCCCGTAGATCTGCCCATGTTACCATATCATTCCACGACATCTTGGTCTTCCTCCGTTCTTCTCAATAGGGACTTTTAGATTTGCGTGGACGTGGACGTGTTACGTCCTTTTAAGGCACTGGCAGTCACATGTCACGTCCTTTTAAGCACTGGCACTGCCTTAAAAGGAGGTCACACGTTTCAGTCCACGTTCCCATCGTGCAAATCTAAAGGTCCCTAATATTGATTTACTGGTCGAGGTTCATTATTTGCTAGTCATTTGAAATCACCAGATTTCAGCGGGTTAACGCTTTCACAACGAAAAACTTCTCCATGACCATGTTTCTGCCCTTGCGCGATCGCCTCCAGCAGACATAGCGCGGCAGCGTGCACACGTACCGCTACTAAGGGCGCAGTAGGCCTATAACCACTGCTGATGGCGGCACTGCACTGTGAGCTGAATCGGTAATAATAGGCCTACTCATAAAACAAGAAATCTTGCACGCTAATCTAAGTTCCATTTCATTTGAAAATTGAAACTCAATATTGTGTTAAAGTTATAACAGAAAAGAAAATCTTTATTTTATAATTCCACGGGGGCGATTTTTAATTTTGCAATCGCCCCCGTGAGCAACCTGACGGGGGCGATTATGTAGCTCACGGGGGCTAATCGCCCACCGCCCCCGTGTATTTTGAGCGCTGCTCTCGTGCCATTATATTTCAACCTCTGACTATGGCCTCTGTGAAATATAACATCACTCTTGAAATTCTAAATTTTTCGGTTCATATTTTGTTACATTAAACGCCAGAGCATGCAGTATTTTCATTATGTAGCTATATCATGCATTGTACATCTAGCGCTATGCATGCATTTGCTTGCACTGCCATGTACACATGTACATAATGACACACGGTTAGGTTTTGGAATGTGAACGAAGGGAAGAAATTATCTTTAAGCTGAATGTCAAAAAAGAAACAGCTGTCCATCACATGATTCTGGTCAGGCTGTATCAAGCTAATTTCTACTGATGAATGTGGCGTCTTTTAGCAGCCATGATGCCTTGTTAGCTAAAAGCCTGCCCCAACTGAGGATGATGTTTTATGCTAAACTTGATTAAGGAACACTCATATTGTGTTGTTTAATAAAGATTTGAGACTGCATGACTTTGACAAATCACATTTTTTTGGTTTGGATGGAAAAAACATATTTGAAAATTGTCAATTATTGAATTATCATGTTCCCAGAAATTAAAATCTGTGACACAATTTTGTGTTTTATTGAAAATTGAGTTATTTTCTATCCATGTCTCCTCTATAGGATTATTGCAGTATACATTCACATTCATGCACCTTAAAAATCATTGAAGTAATTTGCAAATAGCTTTGGGGGTAAATTTAAAGTGTATAGGAGTATTTTTTGTGCAATCAGTAGCATATAATATAATAATCCTATTTGTAAAGGTGAGCCATTCTCTTTACACATCTACTTTAGATCCTACTATAGAGGCATTTTATTGGTGTCTATAAAGTCACCAGAAAACAGGGACATTTGGAAGCAAGGAGATAGATGTAGAAGTGATGAGGGTTCATATATATATATATATATATATATATATATATGCTCTTCAGGCATTTCCCAATCATCATCCTGCTACATTGAGGGACATTCTATTTCAACATCTACATGAGATAGTAATAAAGTGGCATGTTTTTTTACCAATGTGAACTACTTATCAGTATTTAGAAAAGTAATAATAATAATAAAACAGTGCTTATAAAGCACTTTGCACCGGAGTCTCTAAAAGCTTTGAAATCGTTGAAACAATCGTAATTGGATCATAATGCTGCTTGCATAGGTTTAAATATATCCTAATACAGTGTGGCATTCTATTTCAACATCTACTTTAGATTCCACTGAAGAAATGTGGTGATTCTCCTGGGCTGTCAATATGCATATTTTGAGTAATATATATTGGTTTATAGATGTATATACAGTTAATGATTAACTTATCCATACCCCTACCAAGTTTTGTAAAGTTTGTTATTATGTGGAAAATGGATTTGCCTCGAGTTATGTTTCTTGAGAATGTGCCATATGAAAAGCTTACATCTAAATGTATTCAACAAAGGCCCTAATTTAACCAGTCCACCTTTCATTCTCGATTTCCAAAACCCATCAAATTTACAAGGGGTATGAATGATTTAGTTAACTGTTGTTAAATTGTTTGTTCTTTATAAATAATGGATTTTGATTGATGATAATGTAGTGCAGCTCTCTGCAATCTTTTTATGCTCAATTGTTGATGTATGATTTTATGGCCCTTTTTCAATGTGCACCTATGAACCATCCCTTCAAAGGGGAAATGAATTTGAAAGTGCTGGTCGATTGTGGTGTCGATACAGGTGTGATGCTGTCTCGGGTCTGTACAAACAGTACAAGGAATATCCCCATTCATTTTCAACATGTATACTCTAGATGATAGTGAAGTTCTAGGGAGAAGTAGATGTGAGAGTAATGAGAAAGCGACTTGGGATACTGTAGTCCAAATCTGAATGATGGTATGTTGAGTGATGTTCATACATACATTTGTTACTAAGTGATGTTCATACGTATGCATTTGTTACTACATGTAAGTGATGTTCATACATGCATTTGTTACTAAGTGATGTTCATACATGCATTTGTTACTACATGTAAGTGATGTTCATACATGCATTTGTTACTAAGTGATGTTCATACATGCATTTGTTACTACATGTAAGTGATGTTCATACATGCATTTGTTACTATTAAAAGTGATGTATTATTATCTTGAACAGGCATGTGAACATGCCCTACTAGGGAGAAACGTGCAATGAAGGAAAGCAATGGGACTTATTGTTCAGTACTGTGTAATGTATAGATTGTAACAGTGTCCACATTTGCAATCCTGTACTGCTCATTTGTGGCTAACTTGACTTTTTGGATCTGAAGAAATGAATGGGGGATAGTGTAATGAATAGATCATCAAATTGTCCACATTTGCAATCGTAAGCCACTAAAGCCAATTTGTTGCTAATTTAACCGAATGTGTATAGCGCTTAATACTACATTTCTTTCATCACATGCGAACAAGCTCTGTAGGATTGAAAGAAATGAATTATGGTGGCTGCAACCCTAGGAAGGTTTACACTGTTAAATAATTTGTAAACTAATGAATATATCATCATAGTGTTCACATTGGAAATAATGTGGCTAAATCATGGCTCATATGTGTATAGCGCTTAATAATACTTTCTTTTATCACATGTGAACACAAGCCCTTTTGGATTGGACGATTGCAATCCTAGATAGGTTTATATTGTTCATGTCTGTGTAAAGAATAGATTGCCACAGTGTTCACATAATTTGCGATCATAAACATGTACCACCCATTCGTGGCTAACGTGACTGATTCGCCGTGAACATATTTGAACGCCCCAAGAGGAATTTATTTATGCGAGTGTCACTTTCATCCATTCTCTCTTCTTTCCGTCCCTTCTCTCTCTCTCCCTTGACATGAATAGGTGATGAAGGCGATAACTTCTATGTCATTGACTCCGGAGAAGTTGACGTAAGTTAGTACTATTCCCAAATTTATAAAAAAGTTGTTTTCATTGTGATGTCATTGGTTCATTGCCCACAAATGCTACCTCGGTGTAGTAGTAATTTCTAGCATGATATTTTGGGCGAAACTGAACTTCTACTGAATAGTGAATGCTGATTTAAATAAGTAAATTTGATAATTCATGAAATTAGTGGCATTTTATTTCCATTTGGTGCTGCAATCTAAGCTTCAAAATGTGGAAAGAGCCTTAAAGGGATCGTTTAACAATGTTAAATCTGAGATGCACGACCCTACTTGTTATCAGTGTCTGTGGTATGGTGTAATATTGAAGCCCTAAAAAAATTGCACTTCAAAATGATCAAGAAAAGCCTCCAAAAAGTAAAAATCTTTGAGTGACCGGTTTTACCATACTCGTTTTCCCCAATAGACTGTAATATTATGAAAACCGTCAGGCGAACAGTTTTCAAAATTTGTGATTCCAATCATAAATATCTTAGATAGATAATCAGACAGGCGATCGGCTTGTAAAAGTCACAGGGTTCCTGACTGACCTAAAGGTTTATAATTATCATTGCATCATGAGCTGAATCCAGAATTTTGTTTCAGAATCTGAGACAAAGTTACCGGATCCCTTTAAGTGGACTCTCTTGTGGAATATGAATTTCATTGTGTTCTGTACATTTTTTAAAGTCAATATATATATATATATATATATATATATGTGTGATTTACATAGATATTTGATCATAAAAGGGATATGTACCTGTACCGGTATACACCTTGATATATTCAACACATTGTGTACGGGAAGTGTGTGGCTTCTTGATTAAGCCCATGGCAATGAGAGAATTCAGTAGTTTGCAGGTTAAGGATTTAGAACATGGTTTTACTACTATTCTGCAATTGTAATAAACATGTACAATAATAATTTTGATATACTGTATAAAGAGTACATGTAGCTCTTAAACCATGCAATATCTCTGAAAGCACAGTTTAAATTACTCCAGTCTTGGCTAAGGTTTACCTACACACATTTATATGTATATGATTGTCTTCCTCATAGCTTGCGCAGTTTATCACTGGATGCATATTTTTTTTCCTACAATTTCTATTTAGAGCCATATATTGACATATTTTTTTTCTTCCTGTACTACATCCTCCTGCCTGTCCTTCCCCTATGTAGATCTATGTGGACAATGAGCGTGTCGTCACCCTGAGTGAGGGCAGCAGCTTTGGAGAGCTGGCTCTCATCTACGGCACCCCAAGAGCTGCTACAGTCAAGGTATGTGTACCAGTCTGCTTGTCTGTCTGTCTATTTGTATATCTGTCTGTCAGTATGTCTGTCTCTCTGTCTGTCTCTCTGTCAGGTTGTCTGTCTATCTGTATTTCTTTCTGTCTATCTATCTGTCTGTCTGTATGTCTGTCTGTCTATCTATTTTTCTGTCTGTATGTCTGTCTGACTATCTGTTTGTCTGTCTGTCTTTTTATCTGTATGTCTGTCTGTCTGTCTATATGTCTGTCTGTCTATATGTCTGTCTATCTGTATGTATGTCTGTCTGTCTGTCTATCTGTCTATCTGTCAGGTTGTCTGTCAAATCTTGATTTGTACAGTGCGTGAAGAGAAGGTTGCATTCCAGGAAAAGTGAAAAATAATAATTTGTGAGATTTTTCTTTCTTTTGATGTTAGTTTGGAAGAGTATCATAGAATAAAATTTACCCAGAAAAAGATGGCTCTTCAAATTCCCTCTTATTCGGAATTAATAGCTAAAGGGGTGAGGACGACACCTACATGCCACATGTTTGTGTAGTCCACACAAATTCTGTGCACAGTCACCCACAGTGCATGTGACTTCTAGCAAGACTGGGCCAATTTGCTATCGTTTTGAGGATTCACATCCTCGCAGTATGCACCTATACGAACAGTTTGGGCTCTGTGATCAACTCTTTCCAGCTTTCACACAGTTTCTTTCACAATTCAATCTCATGACCAGAATTATTAAAACATGCAATTATTGTACATTGTATTACAAAATACAGATAGAGCTAGTAGGGCAAGTCCATGGTATTTCTTGTTCCGTATGTTACCAAGTATTTTTGAATTCTGACCATAAATTGACATCAAATGTGTCATTAAACTTCATATGTGGTCTGATCTACATGTAAAGATGCAGTAAGACTATTTGCTTAATGATCAGACATGCTCAAATCTGAGAGGAGGTCATTGACATTTGGGCTAAAAATGCTGACAGTATCGATTTACTTTTCCTAATCATTACTTCTATCTCTTGATAAGTTTGTATAGTATTGTACAGGTACTTGCATGCTACAAAATACCACTTAAAGGCTGGTTCAGATATGCCGCGGTAAAAGACCGCCACATTAAAAATTAAATGTTTAAAATACATGTAACTGAATGGCAACTGCATGCAGTTTCACGCGTACTGGTATTCACTTATCTCTGTGTTATTATAGATACAGATGTGCATGTATGTGAAGTGTAGTACATTTTGTGTCATCATAAAAAACGTCATGCTACCGTGGTACTGTGAACAAGCCATTATTTACTGTATTTACAGGTTTCTTTTCTTTCTCCAAAGTCAAGTCCAAAACAATAATGGGGCACATTGCCACCTGAAATAGCTCAAAAACTTACCCACCCCTCCCCAATGATTGTGATGTTTATTTGGGACCTTTATCTTTGTATTTGCAGGCTAAGACTGATATGAAGCTGTGGGGAATTGACAGGGACAGCTACAGACGAATTCTCATGGTAAGCATACAGGTTTTTTTTTTCTTTTTATAGTATTAAACTTTTTATTGTAATTGCATCATTGTTTTTAGCTTTCCAATCCCATATATACCTCTGTACATTTAACCATTACATCCTTGTATGGGTACACTAATATACACTTGCAAACTAGGAAAGAAAGGTGCTTAGTTTAGAAGCAATGACAGCTACAGTAGATCTTGGGATAGTTATCCTGATTCCTTTTGTTCTATGGGCAAGAAGCTGTGTACCGCGATCAATGGGATGACACGTCAATACAAAGAAATTGATTTCCATGTTAACCTGCCAAATTAGACCATGCTCCCGAAGAAAGTGCGGCTTTTACGCAGCGCCGCTGTAATGAATGCTCCTGCAAGGAGTACACGTTAGTGACGTCCAGTAACGTGATAGGATGAGGGAGAAGGGTTCTAGTGTTTCATTAGAACTCGAGGGTATCGATCGGAACCTTCAAACTCCTGAGGTGTGTGGCCAATGTTTACACAGCGCTATGACATCATCCACGTAAAGGATAGTGCCATCGTCGAACGGGGCAAAGCGATGATGGGAGAACGCGTGCGAGAGAAACACAATCGTGGCAGTGCTAGCCATGTTTAATATTGAAGGGTAGTGTCATGGAGACGAATATAAGACTTTTGATCGTATCTTTCATATTTATGTAATTGATTTCATAAATGTGCCCCTACTGTCCCACCAAGTTGAGGAACAATTAAATTAATGAACTATCCAGAGACATATTTTAAATTGTAAGCATGTCTTATTGTTATTATTGTAATTGATTGCTAAATATTGGATACAACACATGTATCTGTCATGGGCATAAAGTCCACAACACTTGTTTACTATTTTTTCTTCAAATAAACAGTAGCAAGCTTTACTTGGTCCAAGCACACTGCAAAACATAGAGTATACTTGAAAAACCATGCATATGATTATTTTGTTCCATTTCAAAGGCTAAGGAGGTACTGTAATGGTTCATGGAAATGAACAGAATACTTCATCGTCATGTGATTTGTTTCCTCCTTACAGGGAAGCCAAGTACGCAAGAGGAAGATGTACGAGGAATTCCTCACTAAGGTTTCCATCCTTGGTAAGTCAAATAAGTTATTGAATGATTTATTGATTGATTTAATGGATGACTTTATTAGGGAGAAGGTTAGGGAGGGAAAGTGGGGTAATGAAGTAGGCATGAAGGGATAAATGTTAAGAGAGAAGGAAAAGGAAGAAATTAATGAAAGTGAAGTGAGATGAAGGACTAAAGGGAAAAACAAAGTAACACAAAATAAATAACTAAAGTTTCTAAAGCATCATAATAAATAACTAAAGCGTATGAAGAATTTATGATTGAAAGGAATGGATGGAGAAAAGAACGAAATAAAGAATGAGTTCCAGTGACGATACTCAGAAATATATCACTTTATTCTCAAAATAATGAAATCTTATAGATATATATTACAAAGAAATACAATAAAATGTACACATGAAAACTGAAATCTAATCATTCATGGTTGTAGATTATGAAGATAATAGATACAGAATGTGTTGCCAATTTACAGAGGAAAACCAGAGACTCTTGTCATGTGTATGCATGAGGCCAAAAAAAATTTATCTTAATTCAGTTAACTGATAGTTTTGTGGAATGTTGTTTAAAGGTAAAGACCAGTATTGGAAACGCCCCAATTTCAAAAAATGAAATGGAAACTCTTATTACCAATCATGTGAAAGAATATGTTTTGACTAATACATGATGATAACAATTTTGCCGGGAAACTGCCTACTAATTGATATATTTGGTAAATTAGTTTATCTATTGGGATGTGAGAGATAAACGCACATGTCGCGCACGTGTGCATAGTCCCATATACATCTTTCTGTGTACAGTGCTTGTAACTTTACAAAGACTGGACCAAATTTCTTATCATTTTGATGGTTCCAGAACCTTGCAGTACACACCAAAACTTATATGCTAGATGATCAACCTTTTTTGATTGATTCCACAACGTTTCTTTCACAATGCAATCCCATGACCATAACTGGTCTTTATCTTTAAAGAAAAAATGACATAAATATTGAACAAACATTTTTCCAAGTTGCCAATTTGATGAGGTATAGTAAATCTTGATCTGCTTTTTTCTTGTAGAAAACCTCGACATTTGGGAGAACTTGACAATAGCCGATGCTCTCGAGCCAGTCCAGTTCGACGACGGCCAAAAGATCGTTGTCCAAGGAGAACAAGGAGATGACTTCTTCATGATCATTGAGGTAACCAAATTAGACCCCTAACTTTTTTTTTAAGTCTTTGATATTTGTATGTGAAAATAAATAGTCGTCTTTCCGAGTATTCATTTTGATAGGAGCTTTAAAGCCCCTCTGCACTACTTATAGCTACTTGAGCCTTCTATATAGCAAACAATGCCTAATCGGTGACCACTTATGTTAATTGAGAGCTGATTTGATGAGATAACCACCTGTCGTTGACCATGCAAGGAGGTCTAATCCCTCCTGGCCAAACTAGTGCAGAGGGGCATTAATCTAGGAAGATTTTGGGAAACACAACTTCATACTTGCTTCATCATGAAGCATGTGCGGGAGAAATGGGTGTTATACTTTTCTACAGGTTTGACGCCCTGGTGCTGGCAACAGACCATATGATTCAGTGGCCAAGTGTTTGGCTTAAGTTAGCTTGCTAGAGGATTAAATACAGATATAATCAGAATATTGTTTACACCATTTTACCTCAAGGTTCTTAAAATCGATGTTAAAGAGAAGGTTGAGTTCTGGGGAGAGGTGAACAATAACTTATGAGCGTTATCATTGTTATTAGGCAAGTGTGGAAGAACATCATAGAAAAAATGTTCCCTGAAAAGCATGGCTCTTCAAATGCCTTCATTTTCAAAATATGAGAAGTAACAGCTTAAAAATGAGGCCCAATTTTTGTGCCACATGTTTGCGTAGTCCCATATACATCTTTCTGTGTACAATGCTCGTTACTTTACAAGACTGGGCAAAATTCCTTATCATTTTGATGATTCCAGAACCTTGCAGCACACACCAATACTTATATGCTACATGATCAAATTTTCTGATCCTTTCCATGCCGTTTCTTTCACAATGCAATCGCATGACCAGAACTCAACTTTATCTTAACGTAAAATGTTTAATTTACTACCTACAGTGTACCTGTAGATAAGGGAGCATATCATTTGTCGAGAAGAATGTTTGTAATTGATTAAGTATCTTAAAAATTTAAAATTTAAAATTTAAAAATATATATTTCACAGATTGTTCCTTTGTCCAAATTCTGACTTCTTTATCTTTCATTCTTCCTTATATAGGGCCAGGCAGCAGTTCTTCAGCGTCATGGCAACGACTCGGAATTGATTGAAGTTGGCAAGCTAGGACCATCAGATTACTTTGGTAAGACTCGTGCCATTCATTTAGAATCTCTTGGATTATGTCATGAAAGAACTTATAGTACGTTTAAAAGTCGGTTTAAAAATATGGTTGGTTGGCTTTATGGCATTTTTAGAATCAATTGGAAAATCAGAGAGTCAATCATCGGATACAGGCCCCTGATTGATATTTGCGGTTTAATATGCACCTCAAACTTTGAGTAGGAAGGAGGTGAGCTCGCTCAGGTGGTAAAGCGTCTCCCTGTCATACCCCAAAATCATGGGTTCGAATCCAACCCAGGCAAATGACTGTAGCCTGCGTTGTGTGTCGACGGGTCGCTGCCATTATCATACAGGTAGATGCAGGCTAGGGTACAGTGGAAAACACTCTGTCCCTCGGATAGGACATTACATGGAGGCCCTGTGGAGAGGAGAGTCACCACCTTTGCTTGCTGAGAACCCACTGCACTATTCTTATAAGTGTAGGGGAAAACCCTAGTGAAATGGTCCACCTGCCCATCCTAACCAGGAGGAGAGAATGATTCCGTTCGCTTTCCCCTCACAGGCACAAGTGACGCAAAATAGTTAAAGCCTGTCCGTACTAGTTTGGCCAGGGGAATTAGACCTCCCTGCAAGGTCACTGACAGGTGGTTATCGCATCAAATCAGCTCTCAATTAACAAAGAAAAGGGGGATCATGGGGACCAACAGGCACCGATTAGGCATTGTTTGCTATTTAGAGGGAGCAAGTAGCTATACATTAAAGTAGTGCAGTGGAGCTTCAATATTAATGATAATGTTTGTTGAATAAAAAAAATAAAACCATCGCAGAGAGATTAATGAATTTCAAATCTTAACTCTGTTTCCTAAACCAGGTGAGATTGCCTTACTGCTAGACCGCCCCCGTGCTGCCACCGTCGTAGCCCGCGGCAACTTGAAGTGCGTCAAACTGGACAGACAACGCTTCGAGCGTGTGCTTGGACCTTGCCAGGAGATCCTCAAGAGGAATATCTCCAGTTACAACAGCTTTGTGCAGCTGTCTGTATAGAGATCTCCTCTCTCAACTCATCCTATTTCTCTCCAGTCTCCTGTTCTCTCTTTCTATTGTACTTTCTATTCCTATCACCCTCTCTCCCCCATCCCCCCCCCTCCCCCCTAACACATGCCATCATTCCCCTCCCTCATTTCCATTGTTCCCTGTCCGTCTCTTTCCACGACTCTCTCTCACCACTCATCGCCCTCTCTCTATCTCTCTCACCACTCATCGCCCTCTCTCTCTCACCACTCATCGCCCTCTCTCTCTCATCCCCTCTCTATCTCTCTTTCTATCTTTCTTTCTCTCTCTCTCTCTTCGAGAGGATGGATAAAGATCTGTGTCATCTATGTGATGCTTTAGAACTTAAAAACGATTGAGAGAGTACCTTAAGAGTTTTACAATGTTTCTTCAAAGGGCCTCACAAAACCTTTTTTTCACAGGTGGTATGAGTTGGAAGTTTTTATGGTCAGTTTGCATACAGCCCCTGTTCAAATTTCTAAATGTAGGGTAGAAAGTTAAAATTGGGGGGCCTCTGTGGACCTGGCCTCTGTGGACCTGGCCCCTTCGAATGTCGGGTCCTTCGTATTGTACAAGCATTGGTACTAATGAAGGAGATGAAGGAAAGAGAGTGTGTTATAAAAATAAATTGCTACAAACTGCAGAGAGAGAGAAAGAGAGATCAGAGACGAGAGATAAATTGGCCAAGTAACACATTGGTCTCCCCATCATAGTGGGAGGGGGAGAGCTATGGAGCTTTGTTTCTTATGCTTTGAGTGTGTAGTATTTCCACTACAAAGTATCTCATAACTTTTCTTTGTTACAAAAATAGAGGGTTAGCGTGTGCACTATGAAAGTGAACTAGTTGCAATGAAGTTAGGACGGGATATGTCATTCGCTGTGCAGTTCAATCAAAACGCTGCTGTTATGGGATATTGCAGACCGAAGGTGAATTTGAAAGAGAATATACTATGCTGTTTTCTTTGATAATTTCCTAAAGAGCATTTCAACATATCTGAAAGCGGTCTATTTGCAAAGCAGTGAAAAAGAGAGATGCGGGGAGCATTTGAAGTTTGTTACTTTTTTATGAAATCATCCATTATAACAGCCAGAAAGGCATTAATTCACTGTTCAAGCATAGGAGTTACTGCCCTTCTGGCTCCAAACAGACGAAAAAACACAATTCCCTTGTAAATTGTTCAGGTATTATACAAACCTTTATTATAGCAGTTGGAGAGGAGGTAGGATTTAGCTTACTCTAGACGACTATAACTCCTTATTTATTGTGATTTTATGCCCATTGACCAGTGCGGGGGAGAGCTTGTGGTTCGACAAGCGAGAATTTGTCGTAGCATGTGTGGAAAATCCAAAAACTTGGTGTTTACGGACGGATCGGGCAGTTGTTTGACCATGTGTATGTACATAACTGACATTGTTTGTTCATTCATTAGTCCCTGGTGCTGTGTGTCAAATGAGGGTCGGACAGGAATTCGCTAAATATAACGTATAAACTATATTTGCTCTTGTAAATTTGAAGGGGATGCATAATTGTGTATGGTTTTCATAACTCCTCATATGAATATTCATAGCCAGTTAGACTGTTTGCTTTAAATAGTGCAACATTATATTTGTAGATTATACATTTTCTGGGCGCTGGTTTAATGATTGGGTCTGGGTCTAATTTTCCTCCCTCTCGTTTCATCGTACTTGGTCGTATATACAAAGTTTGTATGTACTTTGATATCAGAAAGTTATATTGGATCCTTATTGGGGAAAAAAGGGACATACTGCCTCGGTTCTTCAGTATTCAATTCCTTTCAATTCAATTTGAAAGATGTCTCTGGAAACATGCTGTGATATACATGTAACAGTTGTAACAGTTTGGCAGAGAAAGTGAAAATTATGTTGCTGTGGTCTGTGAGAATGCTGAGAACTATGCTTTAAAGGAGCATCATTCTTGCAGAGTGCCGCCTTTTAAGGCATCTTTTCAAAAATCTTAGCGATTTAAATATGAGGAATATAAACAAACATATAATTAAGACATTGTTGGGTTTAATAGGAATATCAAGGTTATTGAGTTTACTATTCTTGCTTTTCTCATGTATCAGATAGGTGGTGTGCTTTTATCATTGTATTGATGTCGAAATTCCAGAACAACCTTTTTGAAATGTGTTCAAGTACTTGTCTTTTTAACTACCCTAAGCTTGTAAATAGAACCTTATGTAGTTAGAATGCTCACAATCATTAGGAGATATCTCTCATTGTTTTCTCCGTATAAATAAAGCACCAAAAATCTATTTGATATGATTACATTTTTAATTGTTTAATTATTTCAAAACGTTTATTTAATCTTATATCATGCCACCACGAAGGGAATTATGACTACATAATTCTTTTGAATTAATGTATACTTTCTTTTTAATACTATTTTTTTTTCTTGTTTTTTCCTCGCACAATAGATTGTTTATAGATATATGAAAGAGCGTTACTTATTACATATCTGTGTGTTGTCTTTTCTTGTAGAGGTATACCCTGAAAAAAAACATATTGTTCTGTGAAATTATAATCTACTATCATTAAATTTAATGAAGGTGGTGTCTAAAGAAAGACTGGTCTTGTGTTACGTTTTTTTTTATCTGAACGTCGTGTTTATTTTTTTTATCTGAACGTTGTGTTAATTTTTTAATTTTTATGCCTCCGCCACCGAAGGTGGTGCCGGAGGCATCATGTTTTCGGGTTGTCCGTCCGTACGTCCGTACGTCCGTCCCGTTTGACCGTTATCACAATATCTCAAGAACCATTTAAGATTTAAACTTAAGACTCGGGAATAGTATTTATCACCATAGGAAGACGATCTGATTAATTTTTGGAGTATGTAGGTCAAAGGTCACAGGTCACAGAGGTCAACTTATGAAATTCCTTGTATTGAGTTTGTTAGCGCGATATCTCAAGAACCATGTGAGATTTAAACTTCAAACTTAAGGATAGTATGTATCACCATAGGAAGACGATCTGATTAGATTTTGGAGCACGTATGTCAAAGGTCAAGGGTCACAGAGGTCAACTTATGAAATTCCATACATTGAGATTGTTATCATGATATCTCAAGAACCACTGGAGATTTAAATTTCAAACTTAGTGATAGTGTGTATCACTATAGGAAAACAATCTGATTACATTTTGGAGCACGTAGGTCAAAGGTCAAGGGTCATAGAGGTCAACTTATGAAATTCCATACATTGAGATTGTTATCATGATTTCTCAAGAACCACTGGAGATGTAAAAACTTCAAACTTAAGGATAGTATGTATCACCATAGGAAGACGATCAGATTAGATTTTGGAGCACGTAGGTCAAAGGTCAAGGGTAACAGAGGTCAACTTATGAAATTCCATACATTGAGATTGTTATCATAATATCTCAAGAACCACTGGAGATTTAAACTTCAAACGTAATGATAGTGTGTATCACCATAGGAAGACAATCTGATTAGATTTTGGAGCATGTAGGTCAAAGGTCAAGGGTCACAGAGGTCAACTTATGAAATTCCATACATTGAGATCGTTATCGCGATATCTCAAGAACCACTGGAGAATTTTCACTTCAAACTTAATGATAGTATGTATTACCATATCATAATATCTCAAGAACCACTGGAGATTTAAACTTCAAACTTAATGATAGTGTGTATCACCATAGGAAGACAATCTGATTAGATTTTGGAGCACGTAGGTCAAAGGTCAAGGGTCACAGAGGTCAACTTATGAAATTCCATACATTGAGATTGTTATCATGATATCTCAAGAACCACTGGAGATTTAAACTCCAAACTTGTTTAAATTGCTCTATGGCGGAGGCATCATTTTCGACTGCACGCAGTCAAAATTCCATCTAGTTTTATAAGTTTTTATTGATCCAATAATATTTTTACATTCAACATAAACATAATACAAATATCAGACATTTATATTCATGGAACAACTATAGATTTTTTTTAAAGAAATCAAATGGAAAATAGAAAACATCAGCGATCGTCAAAATAGTCAGAAAAAATCGTCAGAAAAAACCTGCTTAAAGGGGGTGGATCGCCAGTTTCCATGTGCAGAAGGCCATAATTCGCTGACACCAGACTTGGTGGAAATACCATTAATGGGGGTACAAATTTGCACACAGCAAACCCATAGTCCAGTCAAGAATTACCCCCTAATCTCTCGGAGAGCTCGAGAGTCTTCGGGCAATTCAAAGCATTACATAAGGTCCAATGGTCATAAAACTCGAGGCTAACCCTGGTGATTGACAACACCTGTTATTGGGTAAACACCCGAACGGTGTCGAATTCCCCATGAGAGCCGACTACTCAGTGACTTTAAACAGGATTATATTCTAAAATTTCAGAAATTAAGCGCCATTTTTCATTGTGCCTATCTAGTTTGCTGCGCCTTTCAGCAATAAACCTTTCTATCGTCTGAAATATTTAGAATGTTGTGTTCATGATGGTGTGGTAATAGTAGTTAGTCACATCCAACAGATTTCCATTTACATCACATATAGCACCTGGGTGGAGAAGGGTAATGTAGATTAAATGCCTTGCTCAAGGGCAAACTGCTGTGCTCGGGCTTGAACCCACGGCCTTTGCGATTCCAGTCAAGTGAGTAACCACTCGAGTATGACATCTCTACAACGTTTATTAATAAAAACACATTCAACATTTGAAATTCTTTAAATTCTCAACAATATTTTTCTCTCAATGTTTTATTGTTCTAATGAAATGCAATGTTCCGAAAAAACATTAAGCATATTCATAGGTAAACAATTTGTTTTTAAAAGTATTTTTTAATGGCCAATTTTGATAGAAAAATGATGATTTTGAAACTCTCTGTGTGTTGCCAATTTAAATATTTAGAATTTTATACTCCTTAAAATTTATGGCATCATGCAACAAAAATGGACACGATATGTGCAGAAACTGTTGCCCTTTCTTTTCTTGCGTCTGGTATATTTTAAAGGCTCTGAATAAAAAATAACTGGGCAAAACCACAAAATGTGAAATGCTCGTCGCAAAAGGGTTTATCGGTAATTTGTCAGATGGGCCACTGAGTATGTATTTTGCAGACATATACCAATGGCCCATTTAGGGGCAGTGGAAGAACAAAATATCCCTCTCCCCAGTTTAATGCATTATCATAAATATCATACATATTTTGCGCCTCACTGATGTTATTCAAATCATACGTGTTAGAATATGGTGACAGATACAGTTGTGAATATAGCCACGTGTGGGCGTGTGAAGCAAACAATTTTTTTTTTTAATTTTAAAATAATTTTGACAGTTCCATTCACAATCGGTGATGGCTTACTAAAAAATCCCTATCAAATATTGGCCTGTTGATTGAATGAGAACGTTGAATTTCATACAGTCTATTGATTGATGGAGTATGTATGTTTGTATTATTGCGAACTGTAGTCTGAGGATTGATTAATTGAGAGCTTTTAATTGATTTTTTGATTGCTGATATATTCAGTAATTAATCCATGAAATTTGAATGATTGAGTGATTTGCATGTTAAATAGACCAAAAGATTGTGTGATTAGTGTGGGTCTACATTTTACATAGAATTTCTCTTCTTGTCTGGTAAATATTGATTTTTTTAAATTTCACTGTGATAAAAAGAATTTGTTGATCGAATTCTTCTTGGAAAATTGCGGTTTCCGCAGTGTTTGCCTAAACAAAGCAACAAGCAAATAAGATGAAATACCTAACTAAATCTAAAAGAAGAAAAAAAAAATCGCCTTTCACCTCCGGTGGGACTCGAACCCACAATCCCCGGTTTAGGAAACCGATGCCTTATCCATTAGGCCACGGAGGCAGATGTTGGTATATTTTCCTAGTCCTAAGATTATATTCTATTAATAAAAAAACCCATCTGGCGTAAGTCATCTCAGCTTGGAGTCATGGTCATGTGGGCATGTGATATTCCAAGTACGTTATAAAAGTATTAGGCTCTATGACAATTACCCCCGGCAAATAACCCCCTCAGCCAATTACCCTCCACGGACAATACCCCCGGACAAATTTACCAACTTATTATCAAGGAGACTTCGATCCTAAATGATAAGCAGGGGGCCGGTTAATTATCCTAGGGGGTAATAGTCCTAGCGGGTAATTTTTAACGGTTGGTGGTAATTTTCCATGCATACGGCGTACCCTAAA